ACGCAGCGCACCTTGCCGGATGACTGGCAAACGGAGCAGCCGGCTCCTTCGAGGAGCGGTGAGACCCCTGCCCGAGCGGCTATCCGCACGGCCCTGGAGTTGAAGAAGCAGTGGAGGCCGGACTACAACCGCCAGAGGAATTCGTGAGCACGTATCCAGCCCGGCGGCATCGCGTCGCGCGCGCACAAGCGGGAAGTGGGGACGGGTCTACATAGGGGCGGATGGGGGCGGATGGGGGGGAAGGTCGCTACTACAAGCGGGCGAGAGGCGCGGCGGGGGGCAAGGGGGGTGGGGGTGGGGCGCGCGGGGATGCGATTCTTCCCGTGGCGGGTACACTAAATGGGCGGGTTGCGGTTAGGGGCCACATGAGCGGATGGCGGCAGAAGTACGCTAGCTTCCACGGTATGACGAGACGCGTGAAAGGGAGGATAGCGGCGCGGGAGGGAGAGGCGCGGGAGGGAGGTACCTCAGTGTAGAGGGCGGAGGGCGCTGGAAGAACGTGTTTTGGGTGTTGGTGGTAGGGTGTCGGCGCATCCCGGGGAGAGGTGGGGGGTGTGATGTGTGACATGTTGATTCTCGCTGACATGTTTTGTGGGTGTCGGTGTGGAGCGTTCTGACCAGATGTGTCACACTACACTTGGTTCGTAATGTGTGTGTTCGTGCCGGCAACACTTTATGGTTAACATGCATCGTGTGCGGATGAAAGCGGGGTCCTGTGGGTCTTGGAGGGTGCTTGTTTTGCCTAGGGCATTAAAAGTGTGGGCATGTTCGACTTTTTTTCCTAATTGATAGGAGGGTGTGAATCGAAAACGTTGTTGTCGTTGATACAACTTTTAATGATGTCTCTGCATCCCTGTATTAAATATTCGTCGCGTGGGTGAAACATTGCTCCAGGTTGCAGACCTGAAGGAGACCCACACACACGCTAAAAATTGGGGTCTTGTCGAATCCCATCGCGAACACATTCCTGCGCTTCAAGTGAGCATGCGCGGAGACGGGAAAAATTGCAAGGCTCCAAAATTGCGGAACCAAAGCGTGCCTCAGAGTTCCCGCCAACACCCAACGTAGTATTGGGTTGCAAGAACAAGTCTTGCAAATAGGAAAACACCAAACGATATGCATGTCCGCAGATTGGCGGCACGGCAGGTTACCCGCAAGACAGCGATGTCTTCGGCGTTCTTCAACCATATTATCCTTGATACTCCTTTGTTGCCTCAAGGCATCCTCTCAAAGTGTTGTTGCCAACCAAACAACCCACACGTCTCTGCGGAGGCGCGCGTATCCTAAAAAAAATGATGCTACGAAAAGACGAAGTCGTTGACTCAACCCTGGCCCCAAAAAAACAAGAAGGCTACGACCCTCGCAGCAAGCAAGCCCTGCAGCAGGGAGAGAAATAAAAAAACGCATCCTCGTGTTCGTTGAATACAGTCACAGCAACTTGCCCGTGAACCACAACGGTCTCGGCTTTCTTCCACTATATTTATTTTCGTTGATACTCCTTTGTTCCGTAAAGCATCCTCTCAAAGTGTTGTTGCCTACCAATCCACACGTCTATGCGGAGGCGCACGTATCCTCAATGCTGCGACGAAACGAAGACGTTGACTCAATCATGCCCAACGATAAAAATGAAACTACCGCCCCGCCCCCCCCCCGTCACGCATGCATAAAATTCGACGATTGCACGGTAACACTTTTCCGGGAGTGCATATGGGTGTTATTCGTCGCCAAACATTTCCTTCACCGTGATCTGGGCAACACCATGCCCAGCAGCTGCACCACTTTCACCTCCACCCTGCAGTCGCAGAGGCACCGTTTTCGTTCTTGATGGCCGGCCTGCCACTGCTACGGCGTTGTTGTTCATGGTGTGGGTGTATCACGTCTGTTGTGGGAGTCCTCGGGTCTCTCGCCTGGTCGGGACCGGTGTATGTACGTCGAGCCGTGGCGCTTTCCGTAATTTTTGAAAAAATACGCGCCTTCGCGCCTTCTGCCGATAAGAACCACTGGAAACCCTAGTTACGGTTCCGTGAAAAAAGTTACTATTCGGTGAAAAAAGTTACGAATTTTTGCGGCCTGATAAGACACACCCTAAAAGGAGCAAGCCCCCAAAAAATACGCCTTGCTCTTTTTACGGAAACGTAGAGGAACGCCTCCATATATTTCAAGAAAATACGGTTTCGTAACCAAATACGTATTTTTTCGGCCTGATAAGACACACCCTTACAATTGGTGCAGAGCTTGAAAGCCCTGGGGGTTCCTGTGGCAAGCCTGTGGTGTGAGGGGGTTCCGTGGCGTGATTGGGGGTTTCGTGGCATGATTGAGGAGTTCCGTGGTACAATAGTGGGGTTCCGTGGTATGGTTAGGGATGGTTAAGGGGTTCCGTGGATCATTTTGGCGAAATATGTCGCATTTTCTCAAACATTACAACTCTGCAGCTATCATCGACGTCGCTCGACGAGGCGATCACGAATATCGTTGTGTCATGTTCCAACTCTTTTTTAAACGAAAGTTATCGCACAAACCAAGAATGAAAAACTGTCCCGGACGGACCATATTACTTCTGTTTGGGGTGCTCGGCAGAGTATACTGTCTACGGGGCCTCCGGGGGGTATGCGGATGAAATGTGTTGATGAGCATGCTGCATGGCGATGGTGTTGCCTACCACATGTCTCTCACTCTCTAATCAACCAAAGGTCTTGAGTCAACCTTCTTTCTCTTTCGGCCTCTGACGGGCTACCGCACCCAAACACAATATATTGGGCCTGGTGTTGGTAGCGGGTATTGGCGTCTGAGCTGTATGTGCCGGGCCAATGGGGCGGCGAATACGATATGTATAGCCAATCTGGGACGTGGCCAATGGGGACATGACAGCACGTCAGCGGGTAGTGTATAGCTGGGACGGTGGCCATCGGGGACCGGGACAGCAGAGGGTGTATTGCTGGGACGACAGCGCTTCAGGGCTGGGACAGCAGGGTACGGGATATTTGTCAAGTGTAGATTATAGCGGAGAGAAGCGGCGGAATAGGAGGAGATTCGCACAGGGAGGAGACTAAGTGGTGCGCATCAAGATGGAGGAGAGGTCGCACCACGCAGCAGAGAAGCTACGAGCTGCCGAGTCGGAGGTGGAGAGGCTGGTGAAGGCGCTTAGAGCTGCGGAGGCTGCCGAGTATGAGAACAACAACAACAACAACAACAACAGCAGCAGCGATGGAGTGCTCAATCGCGGCAGCGGCCATCGCAGGTACAGCAGTGTTCTCGTCGTGGTTTTGTCCGCCAGCAGAATCAACACTGCGTTTTCGCTCAGAGTCACCAGGCGCGGCAGCTCCAGCAATCGGCGCGGCAGCAACAGCAGCCGCCGCCTACCGGAGTTGGTGGGATATATGACTGCGGGAGCAACGCCGTAATTTCCTGCAATAATCACCCCCTCCGCCTGGTACGGTATACCATTGCACTCGGTGCGGCAGGAACGGCCACCATGGCGAAGAATGCGCCGCACTCCGCAGGTTCGAGGGTACGTGCGGCGCCTGTGGTCAGTACGGCCATATGTGGCGGAACTGCGCCATGCATCTTCATGGCAGCAGCGGCGAGGATGACGGCCGTATCGTCCGCGGTGGCTGCTGGATGGGCGTCAATGGCGGCGGCAGCTGCATCGACATCGGCGGTAGCGGCGGCGGAAGCCCGGTCGCACAGCAGCAGGTGGTGGTAGACAACGAGCACCGCTCTGATTTTGTTGACCTGGTTCACGTTGGCGGCGAGGTGGTGGCAGAGAGCGAATACCGCTCTGCTTTTGTCGACCTGGTTCACGTTGGAATTCTGCGATTGTGTCCCTTTTCTTGACAATACTTTCTTTCAGTTTCAAATAGATATGTGTTAATATATAGGCAAGACAAACGGTGTGGCGCGAAATCATGGGATTCCAAAAGTTCTACATGCATGCATGCATGGCTCCAGTAATTCGTTGTCATTTTTTTTGTTTCATCCCGACACAAAAAGACGGTGACAAAGTACCCTATTATCGCCGGCTCCTGCCGTACCTTGTGGTTATCTGATGAGAGCAAGACCCGGCTCATTGAAAACTGTGGCTTCTGTCTTTCATTTGATGTGTGGTAGGTCTGCCAAACGTGCTTTAGATTGCATATAAAGTCTTTGGGCAGTAGTGCTTCCCGCCTGCGATCTAATTTTTTTGTTTTGTTGACACTGCTTGAGAGAAAAAAACTTGTCGCCAAAAAAAGCAAAAATTCGTTTCACTTCCTGTGTTCTATATTCAGAAAATAAACAAATGTTTACTCGCATTACTTATGCGCCACCGTAGTAGCCAGAAAGCAAGGAGAAGAAATAAAAGGACCCCGTTCGACTGTAAGCTACAGTGCTTTCATTTCGCACCCTACCGGTTGAGTGAGCAGACGCAAGTCGTGTGAAAGCACAAACCAGGACCACCGTGTATTCAATAAAATTCATTTCTCGCCCCCGCACAGTTATACTCGTCCCCAGCAGTTGAGGGAATCTCTGATGCCTCATGCGCCCCCGAAACAGGACCAAAGCAGCACCGGCGGTCGCAGTACCTCCTCCTCCCGGCGTTTCACTTTTGTCATTTCTCGTGTGAAGATCGACACCAATCCAAACATTTTCACATTATGACCCAAAAATGTGTCGGGCTCCCGATTGAGTACAATAAAAGAGACTTCTCCTTGCACAAATGCCAAAAACATTCCACCTCTCCACTGACTGGTACGCGCAGAAGCAACAACGGCAGATGGTAAGCATGCTGTTAAACACCCGTAACAGGAAAACAGAGAGAGAGAAAAGCTCGGGTACTCGTGACCGTTCTCTTCCAACACTAGAGGACTAGTGTGTACCACTATACTTCATATCACGGGAAGAAGAAGAGTCGGTAGATTACACGATCGTCGACCGGTAAAAGCGAGTACTGAGTAGCGTGTGTCGGACCAGACTGACCTGCTTGCTACACCGAAGAGAGGGCGGCAAAACGATGAAGGAACTGCTGCCTTCGTGCTGGTGGATGGTACGCCAACGCGGGGGGAAGGAGCCCAAGCTCCGCAGCCCCAGAAGGGCATTTCACAACGGGTACCATGTATGTATGAAAAATAGTCACACACGACGTGCACAACGCGACAGATTTCGACGGTGGGCAAGGGAACGCAAGCAGAGCAAGAGTAAAACGTCGACGGCCACCTGGCGGCGCGGGTCAAGCGCAAGCATCAACATCTGTTGTGCCAGCCAAACCAACTAGCTAGGTCGCGAACCATGCGCACGGGCAAAAACGGGTTTCTTCTCAAACACAGGCCAATCTCCTGACCCGCCCCGTACCAACAGCGACGCTCTCTGTTGCCCCCACAAGAGAACAAGAGGCAGATGGCAGTCAGCAACGTGTGCTTCCGACTTCCGAACTAATATTTGAGCAACCATCCTGAACCCACGTGTACACTCGAGCCTTGGGGTACAAGATTACAAGTTACCACCAATCCACACTTTAACTTGTTTCGGGCCGTACGTATATTATTGTGGAAATCATTCTACCCCAGGTGCGCCCCAAAAACCATGCGTTGCAGCGCCCGCTCGACATTCGTACGCTAACCCTTGCCTATAAAACCAATCCGGTCAACGGCGATGTACAACGGCATGCAAGGGATCTTTCTACAACGAAAGGGACTCAATCCAGTATCGTCTACATGTAGAGCAAGGACAAATCATCGACGAGAGCTATACAAAGCAAGACACAAGAAAACGATATGATGAGACGAACGCAGCAGCACCACCTGCGCACCTCACACGACACGGGGACATACAAAAAAACAAAACGAAAATCGACAAGCTTTCCCATCACTAGAGGGCAGCCAACTGCGCCTGTCACGGTGTGGAAACCTGGCGGAACTTACGCCCACCGCGCGGGTCGACACCTTGTTACACAAGAAACTATTCCCTCCACACTCGAAGACTACAAACCAAAAGCTACGCCATTGTTTGTGTGTGTGAAAAAAAATAACGACATCTGCTGCTGCTGCTGCTGCCACTCAGCTTCTTGTGTGTGCGAGGGGCGATCTGTAAAGCTGGGAAAAATCAGTTTTCCTCGGGGAGACAAAGACAACATTCGTATTTCCAATGAAGCATCGCCCGAATCTTCGGTTCTTCTCCCTGCACACCAACCACGTAGTTAACCGTGTCTTCTTCGCCGGAGCCATAATCTACAAGAAACAAGCCCAGAATTGCGCTTACCACCACCCCCCAGTCATTTCGCCGTTCAATTCTCTAAAAAAGAACAACGTGCCGGAAAACATCCCAGCGACCAATAAAACGTCTACTTCTCGCGCGAACGCGTACCGCATGATGAATGAAAAACACCATCAGCCTATTACTACAATCTACCGGAACGGAACGTCAGCGAACCCCCCGACCTTCCGCCACCACCGTACGTATATCGCTTCGTCCTTGCGGGCCGACCACGATCCCGCCGGCGGTGTCTGTACTCACAAAAAGCAGTGAAGGGATCTCCGTCCGCCACAACGAACAAACGTTCTATCTACTCCGGCCGCTACTATCTACGGCAACGAAACACCACCGGTTGAGGTGCAAGGTCTTCCAACCGATCATCAGGCAAAAAGCTCGCATGTCGTCAACTATTACTACAACTGAGGTCCGGAAAGTCCGGCTAGGTTTCATATTTAAATCCGACCTCCAACAAGCCAGCGGAGAGAGGGGCAGCAGCGTAACAACGCGCACCTCCTTCAATCCACCCCGATGCACGCGCACCGCAGGTGAGGGGGACACACGAACCGCAGCAACGCCACCCCCGCCCCAAGAAAAAGAAAGCCGCACGCCAAGTTTCCCAATACAATACAACTACCATACCAACCTCTGGGTGTTACATGGCGCTTTCTACAATAACGCGTCCGGAGTACCTGCGTACGATCGTGACCCGTCCCCCTTCCCGCAGAGAATATCAACTCTAATAGCAGGCAACGCGTCGGTAAATAGTGCTCGACACACCTTCCCCCAACAAAAGAAGCGCGCTTGCAGCCGTCCTCCTGGGCCGAGCTTGCTTGCCGCCTCCGACCAACCCACACCCACGTACACCTCCACCGGCGCCTTACTATCGCAATAGCAGTAACCTACCCACGCCCATTCATCACAAACCCACCACCACCACCACCAACATCCTGTTCGTTGCTCCGCTACCAAAGGCAGTCAGAAGACACCTCCCTGGTCGTCGCGGTTAAAAAAAAAAAAAAAAAAGCGTCCCCGCTGCAACCGACCTGGTTCCGTTTCGGGTGTTGCTTCATGTGCCGCGACGATTCTACAAAAGGCAGTAAGTGCCAAGTAGCCCTTTCTCTGCCCCGACAAAGTTGAAAACTGGAGTGTAATAAGGAAGAGCCCCCTCCGCCCGCCCCCAACAAAAACGACATCAGTTGCGGGGAGGAGTATACCCCGGTGGGGTAGGGTTCGATAGTTTTAGGGGACGCACGCTAACTGCGAGTCGCGCCCACATGAAAACGGCGGCGACAACAGCATCATTACGACAAGGACGGCAACTACAGCCACAACAACAACGACAACACCAACAACACCGGATACGACGATGGCGACGACGACACACGGAAGCATTGACACGCATGCAGGCGACACGTGAATACAAGAGAGACTTGTTATGTATCAACACCCACAGAATACAGCAAAGAGAGAGAAAGAGAGAGAGAGAGAGAGAGAGAGAGAGAGAGAGAGTTTACGTAAGGACGTGAGAGAGAAAGACATGTATGCCATGCACTAGCTCCATTCCGCCGTGTAGCCGGGTTAGCCCGCGATCTAGGTGTGTTAAGGACAGCGCATAAAAAATACGAAAAACGCAGGGTGGATGAAAATACCGCCGGTGCGCTCGCCGGAGAGGCCAAATGGGCGAAAACGTTGTACCACACGACAGGAACACATACGTAGTCACCAGAACCCCCCCCGCAAGGTGCCAACCACGAGGACCCCCCCCCCCCTAAAAAAAAAAAATTGTAAATCTAGGGTGAGACGTACATGACGGCAGAAAAAACAAATACAACAGGTACGAACGGCAGGGAAATCTACAGTTGCACGGCTAAAGAAAACAAGGCGACTGCGTTTTCGAGCCAACAATCTTCGTCGCCCCGATTTCGCTCTGGGGGAAAATGTCATTTCATTCTATCGCTTCGGGGGGCTTGCTGTATCTCTTAGGAGAAGCTAACGTCCCCCGGGTGCACCAAATCGAGCCGCATGTGTAGCCTTCGGAACATGCGCTCCATCCTGTCGACCGTCCTCTCCATGTTCTCCAACGCGTGTCTTGTCGGTTACGCGCGAAACGTCACCACGGGGGGGGGGGGGATTGCCACGTGTCAGATGAACGGAGGAAGCGGGTGGGGAGAGAGAGGAGGTGGGGGCGAAATCAGATGCGCGACAGGAAGGAAGGCAAGGTATGCAGCTCTCACCTTTTTCTGTCACTTGTATATATAATACGTTGAGGAGACACAGAAAAATCGAATTCGACTCTCTCTGCATAACAGCTAGGCTTGCCCTAACATGGCCACACCATGCTGATTGCCTCGAACCACTACATGGCCCGAGCAGACAACTTCTTGCTCCGAGACGCAGAGTCATTCATTCCTTCCTCCTATTGCGCCTCCCAGAGTTCTTTCTTCCAATAGGGACGTTTCGAGCATTTTGGGCACCCTCAACGGCTGTGGACATCCTCTACACGAAATTTGGCAGTCACGTCGTAGGCATAGCTCAAGCTTGCGCGGGGTCGAGCTGCCACCGCCTCACCCATGCGGAACGAGAAAGGAGGCGTTGCTTTTTTGCTCTCCCTTCAGGGGGCGAACGCAACAACCAGCATATTCGCAACAAAATACTACGAAGCTCCAGCTGGTGCTCATACTGTTCAGGCTATCTTCTCTTTCCCTTTCTCTCTTTCGCTTTCTCTCTCTCACACACACTCTCTCTCTCTCTCTCTCTGTTTCTCTCTATGCCTCGTTTACTTCAACATACTATCAGAACTGTCTCCCCCACATGTTCCAACTCTACTCTCACCCCCTTCGCGAAAGACGAGTTGTGCTGTCTGCTGTGCACCGACCACAAGAGTAATAGCACAACATTGCGGCGTAATACACTGCGACCACAGGAGGCAGGCCGTGCTACACACGCACAATCTCGAATATGGTAGGTATTATCTTGATGCATGCAGTCTCTCTTTGGTTGCATGTACCTTTTTTCTAAGGACAAGCACCGTGAAAACATGTCAGCACACCCTAATCCTCCTTCTCCTCCTCCTCCACCTCCTCCTCCTCCTCGTCCTCATCCTCATCCTCCTCCTCCTCATCCTCCTCCTTCCCTCACCTCTGACCCTCCACGACCCTAACGTTAGCCTCCACGAGAGTCAGCAGGGCGTTCTCCATCTGGGCGCCCTCCGCCGCCTCCGAAGCCGGTATGTCCGTGTTGGCGGCCGCCGTCGCCGCCAGCTTGGACCGCAGCATCGCCAGCTGGTGGTAGACCGCCTCGATGTTGACCTTCGTAGATGTGTGTTTGTGTAGCGCACAGGGGTGGGGGGGGCACTCTCATGCATTGCATGTCTTGGCGGCTAATAGACCATGGACCACATGGGATTCATGTATTGCATGTCTTAGCGGCTAGACCATGGACCACAGGGGGGGCATACTCATATATTGCAAGCCTTAGTGATTCAGGTGAGGGGGGGGGAGCTTGACCACCGTTGTAGGGAATACGAGCACTTGCGTCGTCACGACAATAGAAACCTAGCTTGAAATAACTCCCCTATGCTTCAAGCACCCGGGGCATGCCCCCATCGAAATTCGGTACGAAGGAGAATGCGACACCGTTGCCACACAGACCAATTTGTAGAGTACTCTCCGCCAACCGGGTGCTTTCTGACCGCACGGATACACAGGGCACCCCACACAACACACACACACTTGGTAACGTTGTGTGTCAGTGCCCATCAACCTCGCTCCAATAGAGCTTGGAAGCAACTCGATACGTTCAAGACGACGTCTTGCAAGCGAATCAATTTTTCAGGCGACATCTAAAACACGAGACTGAAATGAAAGCACGGTCATCTCCACGTCGATGATTTTTTATTTTCCTTCTTTTTTCCCGTCGGACAGCAGCTCATGAGCTATATGTATAGGTGTAACTTAACCGTCATCTTCAGCTCACTAGCGGCCAGAGACGCACGGGCGCAAAGAGCTACGATCGATACCGCCCATCTTGACTTCCAAGCATGGCGCACAAAACTACATATAGCTCCAAACACCTACGCAACAAAACGTGAGCGGTATGCCCGCAATACACGCAAAGCTCTCGCTCTCCTGAGAAACGGAGAGCTCAACACTTACCAACAAGAGCGAAGGGTTTATGTCGTTGCCGTATGTCATACCTGCTCTTCTGCAACCTGGTTCTTTCGGGCGGTGGCCTTGGCCTGCGCCAGGGCTGCCTCCTTCAGCAGCTGCAGCATTCGCTCCTTCAAGCGGGGAGGGCAGTACTGCTCGCAAAGCCTCTGTCAAAACGATCGGCGTCGGGCACATGCATGCACGGCGTTGATTCGAGGTCAGCACCGGAGGACAGAAAAAAAAACAACAGCAAAACAAAAATAGGGTGGCACGACATGAGACAAAAAAACAACAGAAACGACAGATAAAACAATAAAGAGTGGCACCGTGAGGGGTATGCAAGCGTAGTACTGGTACTGGAGGTCCGCAAACGGGGGCCCTAAAAAGAAAGGAACTACCTACTGGAAGAAGCTGGAGGGGGGGGGGGGGGAAGGGG